AGCATGGGTTCTAGAGTGCAGGCTCAGTAGTTGTGGCGCATGGGCTTAGTTGCTCCGCAGCATGTGGGATCTTCCTGGACCAGGGCTCGAACCCGTGTCGCCTGTATTGGCAGGTGGATTCTTAAACACTGCGCCACCAGGGAAGCTCCACCTGCACTATTTTTAAGGGCACCCTTGATCTTCACGTTTTTGAAAATGGAATCAGTTCCTTTGTGAAGAGATTAAGAACTATATGCGTTAAGGTCAGCTTCTCCCTCTAGGCAAAATCTCTGAGCCACAGCTCTCTTGGTGGAACTGGGGACACTGGTACACTTTTCTTGGAGAATCAGTCCCACATTAGGAGCTGAGTGCTAGGTGGGATGGGGGACAGTAGCTTCAGGTCTTCCTGGCTTGCTTCTTCCAGCATAGATCCACCACTTTATAAGGTAGGGCAATGGCAATTTCACATCCATGTAGAGCCTGTGGTCCATGATTTGGTGCTGGGCAGAAGAAGGGAGCCCCTTGGCTCCTCTCAGCTGCATTTGCCCGGAACTTAGCCTTAGCAACGTGTACTTGGGGCAGGATGAGAAATGTTGATGTCACACATCTCTCAGAAGTATAGTTCTTTATCTGGGAGCTAGGGGAGGAATGAGCCCTACATTCTTAGCTGTACTTGTCTGGAGTAGAGTTTATGTCTTAATTGGGTGAGGAAGGAGGAGGAAGGGAGTGGTCTTGGTTCAAGTGCCACAGACTGCATCTTTTCTTACTGAATTTAGTAAATATTACTGAAGAGGTGTGTGTTTTTTGGGTTTTTTTTTTTTTTTTTTTTGGCTATATGCCCTCAAGATCATTTCCAGAGAGTTTATATAGTTGATTTTTATATTTTAACTCATTTCCCTGGTAAGTAGTCCATGGAGCTCTCATGCTGTCATGCTGGAACATTGTTTGCTTTAAGTTCTATTTTGTCTGTTATTAGTATAGTCACTCCAGTTCTCTTTTTTTTTTTTTTACTGTTTGCATGGTATTTTTTGTTTGTTTGTTTGTTTAATTCTTTTGTTCCCAGTCTGTTTGTGTCTTTGAACCAATGTTTGTCTTTTTTCTAAGCTATTTTTTCCATTTTGTCAATCTCTGCCTTTTGATTAGAGTGTTAATCCCTTTACAATTAATGTAATCTCTGATACAGTAGGGTTTTTGTCTGCCATTTTGATACTTGTTTCCTATAAGTCCTGTGTCTTTGTTCATCTCTTTCTTTATTACTGCTTGATTTTGTTTTAAATATTTACTTTTAGTGTGCCTTTTAAAATTTTTGTTTCTTTTACTGTATGTTTTCTTAGTTTTTTTCTCAGTAGTTATCCTGAATATTATAATTAGCACCCTAATTTAAAATAATCTAGCTCAGATTGATACCAATTTAATTTCAGTGTAATTGAGAAACTTTGCTTCAGTGTATCTCCTTTTCCTAGCCTCTTGTTAGTGCTATTATTGTTATACCCATTACATCTTTATAAGTTATAAGCCCTTAAAACAGTTTTACATTTATTGTCTCACACTATTTTATTTTAAATCAGAAAGGAGAACAAAAAGGATTGCAAATAAAGTACATTTATAGCCTATTTGTTTTATGTATTTACCTATGTAGTTACCTTTACCTATGCTTTTTATTTCATCATGTGGTTTAGAATTAACTTCTAGTGTTCTTTTCCTTTAGCCTGAGGAAATTCTGCTAGTATTTCTTGTAGGGTAGGTCTGTTAGCAATGAATTCTTTCATTTTTTTGTTTGTTAATTTCTTAATTTTTCCCTAATTTTTGAAGGATAGTTTTGCTGTATATAGTATTCCTTATTGATAGTCTTCTTTCAGCATACTGTATATACATCATCCAATTGCATTGCATTCTGTTCTTTAGGGTTTAAATGGGAATTCTATTGTTAATCTTACTGAGGAGCAACATAGGTATTGAGTCAATTTTGTTCTGCTTCTTACTGTGTCTGGGCCTTTCAATGACTTGACTCTTATTGTCTAGCTATGGATCACCTTGGGTTTATCTTGCATAGAATTTTTTGTACTTCTTAGATGTGTAAATTAATATTTTTCATCAAATTTGGGAAGTTTTCATCATTTATTTCTTCACATTTTCTGTCTGCCTGTTTTTCTCTTTTCAGGATTCTGATTAGGCTTATGTTTGTCTGTTTGAAGGTTTCCCACAGTTCTCTGAGGCTCTGTTAATTTTTTTTCATTCTTTTCTCTTTCCATTCTTTAGAATTAATCATTTTACTTGACCTATCTTCAAGTGTACTGGTCCTTTTGCCACCTCAAACCTGCAGCTGAGTCCTTCTAGTGCTTTTTTATTTCAGGTATTGTACTTTCTAAGTCCAGAATTTATAATTAGTTCTTTTGTATAATATCTCTTTATTGATATTCTTTATTACTTGTCTCCATAAGTGGAGTTGAAGGTCTTTGACATATTTTGGGTCTCTACTAAGCTATGGCGACTCTGCCTATGGGCATCTTGTCCCCAGATCTTCCTTTTATGCTTTGTCAGGCTCTTATTTGATCCAGTTGCTGTTGCAGCCTCAGGCATAATTGCTACTGATTGTTTTCAACTAACATCTTGGGGATAGGTGTTTTTCTTTGAGTCAGTTTGATTAAAGACAACACCTTGAATATTGAGCTCTTCGGAGGGTACTGTGAGATGGGTTACACAGGAACAATGATCAGGGATGGATGGGACTTTTTTGAAGAGCTCCAGTCTCAGTCTGTTCCCTCCTGTGGCTGCAAGCCTGAGCATTTTTTACAACTACCTTGGTTGCAAGGCTGTTGGTTTTCAAGGCTACTATAGAGCTATGGAAAGGTGGAGGGAGAGTTACAACATAAAAGTTACAAGGCCACAAACTACTGTTCTTGCCAAGGTTTGGCAGCTTTTCTTGAATAAACACTACTTAGATTGCTGCAAGCCTTTCTTTAGTGAACTAGAATTCTGAAAAAGTTAATTTGGACAAATTTTTCCAGTGTTTTTGTTGCTTTTATACGGTAGTGAATATATAGTCGTTCTAAACCATTCCCTGCTTTTCTTTTTCTGGTGGCCTGGTTTTATTATTTAAAATATTGGAGTGGTTTTTGTTTTAGATTATACTCATGCTTCTCAAAATGTCATCCTTGAGTCAGTAAAATCAACATCACCTGGGGGCTTATTAGAAAAACAGACTCTCAGGCCCACTCCAATCCAATTGAGTTAGAATCTGCGTTTAACAACATCTCCAGAGTATTTGTTTGTACATTAATGTTGGAGCAGTGCTGGTCTAAGTCAAGATTACTCAGAGTTTAATCCATAGACAGGCTATTTTAAAAACACCTGGAGATCTTGTTTTAAATGGAACCCATGCCAGACTAAGTCAGAATTCATGCAAATAGAAGCTTGGGAATCTGCATTTTGAACAAGCACTCCGGATAATAATAATGCACATTGAAGTATGAGAACCACTGATTTAGAAACTGCAGTAATGAAACAGGATCTTTTTCCATTTTAATGACAGTTTATATTTCATTTTACAATTAATATGTCTATTTTGAGGAAAGCATGTTCATTGTAATTAAGCAGGAACTTTTCAAGCAAGCATACAGAATGCTATTTTATCTCAAAATGGTACATGTATAGTATATGAAAAATCTAATATTATAGTGGTTTAGTTTTTTATTTGTGTGTCAAGTAATATTATCCGTGTGATTGTTTTTTAGCCAGAACAAATTATTACCAAAATAAATTGCCCAGTGATTCACCATGGATTTATAGAAATAAAAGGAAACATTATGTTTTGTGCCTCATAATTTTATGATATTTAAATGAGAATTTAGTGTATGACTTTATGTTTAAATTGCTCTGTGGAGAGGAATTATTCCTACATTTGCGTAACTGTAACTTTACAGTGATATAAGCAAATCTGCTAGTTTGATACATAGCTTGCATTGTTCATAGTTTACATTTTACTACAGTTAATTTTGTCTGTTTAAAACTTTTTATTATTTAATATTTATAAAATTCCTTACAACCCTTATATGAAGGCACCAGAAATATCAAGTTAAAACAAAAGGACAAAAACTGATGTCAACATTCAAATGTTAGGATATATAAATGTGTTGCAGCTTAGTTTGTATATGTGTGTTTGTGAATGTGTGTGTGTTTTAAGACTAAAATATTTGATTAATTTTATTACTGATGTGTTTTTCATTGTAAAGCTAGTATTGTAAGATATTAATAACTGTTATATAAGAAAAAAGGTTTCCTTTAACAAATCAAGTTTGGATAAATCTGTTCTTAACAATATTATACAGATTCTGTTCAACTCTGCAGGAGGGATTAGGCATTCCTGACATGACTCTTCATGATATCTTTCACCTGTCGTTAGAGTATCATTTCTCTACATTGTGGGGGGCTGAGAGGATAATATATTCATGTTTGTACTTTCCAGTACCTAGTCCCACACCTAACACACAATGGAGTCTCCAAAACTGTTTCTTGAAGGAATGAGCATTATTATATAGGAAGGACGGAATTTCTGTGTGATTCCAGATGATGGCATGGTTATTAATGCACTGATTTAACTAGGTACCCAAATCTCATGTCCACTCCTGAAAGAAACGTTTCTCTTTTCTGGAAATAGGATTAGAAATTATTAAATGTGTATAACTCTGACAGTGTATTAAGACCAGTGTGTAATTTCCTCTTTCTTTCTGGAATATAATTTGGGTGGTCATTTTTGCTCTAAATTTCCTTGTTATGAGAATTCAGTGTTGACTTTCCGTATAAAAATAGCATTTTTCACCTATTTCCATTCCAGATCTTTTCTTTCTAGCATACGTTTTGAGTTGCAGAATGAGAGCACATGGACTTTTTGAATTGTAATTTATTCTGATTCTAATTATAGTTTATGAATGATGGAAAATAATTTAAAAGAAGAATGTTTTGTGGTCATCTGAAATTTGTTACAGTAGAATTCAAAATAATCCTTTTTTCATTTATTTTAGTGTCATTTTTGTGGAATCCTCAACATTTATCTCTTTGCCATCCCAATTAACTGAAGTTGGAGAATTTGTTGACCACATGAATGATGGGTAAATGTCTATATATTTTATGCTCATAATTATCTGAGGCAAATTTCTGAGAAATTAGCATTCAAGTAAACTTGTTATATAATTACATAGTAGTTTTCATTTATTTGAAATATTTAATTTATATTATATTATATATATAATTTATATTATTCACACTTATTCTCTTTATATATTTCTAGGTTTATGTGCATGAAAATTGAATACATATGCACTTTATTAAATGCAGTGGATTCTCATTATTCATGGTAGTTATTTTCTATAAAGTTGCCATAAACACTCAGTTAGTGAATATTGCACCATTACTCCAAGGAGAAGTATATTTAACCACATAGATTATAATTGTAAATCCTAAAAACAACCTATCCTGGTAGATTCCACTTTTTTTACTTTACACAGAGAAAATGAAGTTCAGAAGTGTTAAATGACTTGCCTGAGGCAGTCCCACTAACAGGTATAAGAGAAAGGTTTTAAAGCCTGACCTCAGAGCTAGAGCGGCTTTGTGCTTCTTTTTTTTTTTTTTAATTTATTTATTATTTATTTGTTTTATTTTTGGCTGCGTTGGGTCTTCATTGCTGCGCGCGGGCTTTTTCTTTATTTGCGGTGAGCGGGGGCTACTCTTCGTTGTGGTGCGCGGGCTTTCTTATTTCAGTGGCTTCTCTTGCTGCAGAGCACAGGCTCTAGCGCATGGGCTTCAGTAGTCATGGCTCTCAGGCTCTAGAGTGCAGTCTCAGTAGTTGTAGCGCACGGGCTTAATTGCTCTGCGGCATGTGGGATCTTCCTGGACCAGGGATTGAACCCGTGTCCCCTGCATTGTCACGTGGATTCTTAACCACTGAGCTGCCAGGGAAGTCCCTCGGCTTGCACTTCTGTACTTGTGTACTACCCCCTACTGTCTCCATCCTCTGCTTATCTATGCTGGAAAACTGAAATAGAAAAGCCCAGTGTCACCTTATTTGACCTCAGCTGGGAACTTGTGTGACCAGCTACTGGAACTTTCCACCGTTCTGCACATGCCTGCGAACAATTCTGAAAGTGCCATGAGTATTGATTTGTGGGTTACAAATCAATTTTAGTGAGGAGGTGAATTTGCAAAAATGGAATTGGTGGATAATGAGGATTGACTGTATTTAAGCTTATTTGACCCATGTTATGAAGTCTGTATTTAGTTTAGAAAGGAACTTTGACTTCTCAATAGAAAAGTAGAATTTTTTAAAGTTAGATTGCCTCATATGTCTCATCTGTTTTAAACTACAAAATAGCTATTTAAAGTGAAGTAGAAAAAAACAATGTTATAAAGGTTGAAGAAAGTCAGGCAGAAACAAAATAATGCAGGTTTCTATTATAGAAGTACATTTGACCGTTACTACTGTGTTGTTAGTTTATTTTATACCATTGTCTCTGTGTAATGCTTGACAGCATCAGTGTCATCCTTTTAGCTGCAAAAATATTGCAAGAGGCAAGGATTTGGCAGTGTTGATACATTGAGCTATAAAGCAACATTATAGATATCATAGGAATGCAGTATTGTAGGCATTTATGTTAATTTCTTTGTAGTGTGAAATGCTAGTATTGGCAAAAAAACTTCGGTAAACAGTTCTCCTGGATTTTTTTTTCAGTCCCTTGCTTCTTGATCAAGAAGTTGCTTTGTGGTCACAGATTTTGCCTGAATGGCTTTGAAACAATTTCTTCACATTAATTGCAAATAATTTATAGTATCACGTAATTAAACTAGAGTCAAATCTCAAAGAAATGCTGTAGGTATCTGTGAGCAGAAGTAACTCAAAGTGGATCTGTTTAATGAAGAGCAAGAATAATGAGTCTACCTTCATAATTTGGAACACAATATGGAAATTCTGTATCCAGATTTTAATATGATTTTTCTTCATGCAATGTTCTGAAATGGTTTTAGTTAGACCCAAAGTTCCAGAATTATTGAAGCCATAGAATCTCAAACTACAGGTAAACATATCTTTTTAAGTTATGCCTTTCAAATCAAAAACAAAATAGAGTCAACAAGTATGAAAGCATTTGTAACTTAATTTAGGAAAGGAAGGAAACTTTGGAAATACTCATGCAAAATAATTCCCAATTCAGCGTGAAGTATCACTTAAGAAGTGTGTCTATCACAGTCTCAAACTTTATTGATCATTATTTCTCATATAGTCTCTTCCATATGTATTTATAATACTGTACTGTCTTAGTTCTTCTCTCAAGTCTTCCTGTGAGGAAAGAAACATAAAGATGCAGTGACATTGAGTGTTGGGTCAGGGAGAACATAGAGTAGTCAGGCTTCGGCAGATTAGCTCTCAAAGAAAAATTCAGAGCCGTTAATTTAAAGGATCGCAGATTTACTCCTGTGCACCTCTTTAAAGACTGTCTCCCAGATCAAAGGCAAGGGTGAGACAAAGACGAAAGCCACACAGTTCCTCAAGGAAAAGGGCTGGTCCTTGGTATGTCATTTCAGCATTGACATGGATTGAATACTGAGCCCCAAATCCATATGTTGAGTTGTGATAGAATAGTCTCAAGTTCACCAAAAACCTTGCTTTTCTGACAATTCTGAACAGATTTATTAGAAGCATTACTGTGGCTCCTTCTTCTAGGGTCCTGACTGCTTTCTGTGTAACACCTCCAGGCTCCGGTTCATGTAACAGGCAAGCCTTTATTCATTTTCTCAAGGATCAGCTGAAGTATCCAGAACTCCAGCAATCAAGTCCACTTTATAGGCAGCAGAAAGGATAAGAGTGTGCCCTTTTTCTGTTAGGGAAGCTTCCCAGAAATACCACATAGCACTTCTGCTTGTAGCCATTGATCCAGTCTTAATCAGATGACCAACCCTAGCTGGAAGGAAGACTGAGAAACTGCCCTTCTCCACATACACATCAAAAGAAAATGAGGGTTTTGTCAAGGAGGAGGGAAGGACCAGGGGTTATTGGGATAGGCAACCAACAAGTTCCACCGTGAGGGGAGCACAAAAGAGTGTTTTTCTTCCAAATAGCACAACGTTATCTAATATTTCATCAATCTGACTTCATCAGCATAATGAGGCCTTTTGATCTTTAAATATAATCTTAATAAAACAATACTTAATAATGTGACACATCCTGTTTTTATTAAAGCTCTCCTTAATGTTTGTCTTGAACAGATTTCCAGACACAAAATTTAAGAACATGCATTTCAATCATGACCAGAATGGAAGTCTGGTGCAGTACCTCTATGATTAACTTTCATATGTAATATACCATATAATAAGTATTACATTATCTCAGTAAAGCCCTGGTCTGGTCTCTAGGTTTAATCATCAAGGTAACATAAGAGAACAAGAAAATGTTTTTAAAAATCTCCATAAGCTAACTGGATTATTTTTAGAGCTTTGTTACAAATATCCTTGTTTTCCTCTTTTAGGCACATGGTAATATTGCACTTCCCCACTAATGTTGAAGTTATCCATGAACACATAACTCAATCGGCCAATGGCATGTGAGAACTGCTGACTGTTTTTTCCAGGTGGTAGCTTTAAGACCCAGTGAGCAATTTTTCTTGTCCCCTCTCCCTGCCACAGTTATTAGAGAGGCACATTTAGAAATGGAGGCCTCCTTCACCAAAGATCACTACATGTGTGAGCAAGAAATAAACTATTGTGTTAATCCACTGAGATGTGGAGTTGTTACTGTAGCATGACCTAACGTATACTAACTGATACTCCTCTTCAGAGTCACTTCTGTTAATATCTCCCCACATGATAAATAACCTCTTCTCAAATGAGCCGTAAAGTGCTGAAATTATCTTTTAGATGGCATAAAAAAGGATCTCCTATTTAAAAATGTAAAATGTCTCTGTAAACTGGTCTTCTTAAGCAACAGATACATATAAAACAACACAGTTGAAACCACATGGATGAGGAAACTTTATGTTCATCACATATTTTACTGTATGTGAACATGATCCCTGAGCATAAGCAAGAGCAGTTAAGAAGCTTTTATTCTAATTAAATCCCAAGGATTATCAGAAAGGATCAGGACAGGAGACTGATTTTAGCCACACTTTAAAATTGAGTGATGGATCAGCAGTGCTCAGAAATTGGCAATTTGTAAATAATTTCCTACAGTGATATGACTTGCAATTTTTTTCCAGCAATTTTGAATTACTTATCACTCAATAAATTTTTACTAAGTGGCACCTTAAGTACTGTTCTTAGTACTGGAGAAACATTGGGATAAATAAGTCACAGATCTGGCCCTAAAGTTGCCAACCATCAAGCAGAGAAGAAAAAATCTACACAAATGTAAGCAATTATACAGGGCAGAATGCATTCAGTAGTATGTGTTATACCAAAAAATAATATATATATATATATATATATATATGTATATGCTCTGTGAGCTGATTGGCAAGGAATATCACTATGTAGATATTATTGAGATCTTCGTGAAAGATAAAACATTGAAGGAGAAAAATGAGGTCCTAGTAACCTTTTTTCCATGTGTACACCATGTTCTCCTTTATCATATACAAATTGGGATCTGAAATATGAGTATGATCTTGACGGCCAGAATCTAAAGCAGGGGCAGAACTTTCCTACAAATATCCTACAAATATAGAAATATCATAGGAAGAGGGAATCGCAGAAGCATTGGGGGGAGTGGGGGACAGGCAGGCAAGGAGAAGTACAAGGCATACGCTTATAAATATGGACTATAGGGTCAGCATAGGAAAGTGTGAATTCAAGTTGAAGAGGTATTGAAGTGTTTATCATTCTGCTTTGTACTTATTTCTTGTAGAGCTACTTTGCATGACAGACTGGATACTCTGTGAACTGAGGGGTTTCATCATTCGTCATTGTTCCCAGTATAGCTTGGCCCAGAATAGCCACCCAAATGATGAAAGAAGGCCCTGGTAGAGAGATGTTTCTGAGTCTTGTTTAAAAAAAAAAAAAAAAAAGCTGGGTTCTGGAGAGCCATGATTTTAAAATATTTCATTCTGCTACACTGAATAATTAGTAACAGTTAGAATTAGGCAAGTCTGTAAGGAAAGCAGAGTGAATCAAAAACCAGATGTATATACTAAGAGTAACAATCTGCCATGATCCTCTTGCTCTCGATTAGGGTTTCATATGAGGTTTTAATGTTGTCAAGCTCTTTGGTAGTCTTATGAAACCTATTCTACTTCACAGAATAGTGTTTTATAAATACATAAAATAAGATGCAAGGATTACAGAGTGTCTTAATCTACTTGGGATGCCATAACAAGATACCATAGACTGGGTGGCTTAAACAACAGAAATTTATTTCTCACAGTTCTGGTGACTGAAAAGTCCAAGGTGCCAGCAAGTTAGGTTTCATTCTGAGGCCTCTTCTTTTGACTTATGGGTGGTGGCCATCTCACTGTGTGCTCACATGACCTCTTCTTTGTGCACACATGGAGAGAGAGGTTGAGCTCACTGGTGTCTCTTTCTGTAAGGATGCTAATTCTGTCTTATTAGCACCCCACCCTTATGATGTTATTTAACCTCGATTACCTTCCAATATGCCCTCTCTCCAAATGCAGTCATTTTGGGAGTTAAGGCTTCAACATATGAATTTAAGGGTGACACAGTTCAGTCCATAGCATAGAAGAAAGTAATAGTCTAGTAGATTATCAAAATATTTAAAAATTGTAATATGTTAAAATATATACTTCTTCATTAACACAATACATAGTAAGATCTACTGGTAGAGATTAACTACCATACTCTAAAAGTAGCAATGAAATAAATGACAGCTCAAGAATATGTGCAAGAACTGAAATGTGATGTATACATATTTGTGATTGTTTGGTGATCAATTCATAGTATAGTTAACCACTACTACTGTGGTTTGGTTTAACTTGCTATTAAGAGTTAGTGGACATAAAGATGAATTTTTCCCCATTTAAATTCACAGATTCACTCTGTCCTTGTACCACAGGTTAGCACCCCTTGCTTTAGAGACTTCTCAACTGTTCAGGAGCCAAAGTGGTACAAAAGGCAGCAAACATTCCATTTTAACAGCCCTCCAGATGGCCATGGGGCCCTATTTTGACAAACTCATGGAAACATGGAGGATGTAATGAATCTAAAAATTGATCCTCTTATATTCCTTCCTGTGATGCATAAAAACTAGACTTGAACAAGATCATTTGCTGTTTGGTTTGGATGCAGCCCTGAATGCTGCATACTTCAACCCAGAAGTATGAAAGCTTATAATAAAGATCTTCCTTCCCTGTTGGAGAAGCTTGAGAAGGAAGCCATTCTTGCAGCTGATTTATTCATGCCCTGACTAGAACCAGTTCAATATCGTTTTGATTATTTTAGCTTGAAAAGAGCTGTATTACCACTATTGCAGAGGAAAAAGTAATGCCATCCCTTCCCACCTCATAAGTAAGTTCTACTCCCTGACTTTGGCCTACTACTAAATTAGCAGAAAATATTCCATTGCTTGATCTACAGTGTTTTGTATAATTTTAACCTCTTTTGATGCTATTCTTCCTTAAGACCAAGGCTTTGAAATGCTCCCTCTGCCTTAGCTTCAACAATAATCAATGAGCATTTGGGAAAGTGATAGCATGGATTGAGGTATGGGGATTAACAAAAAGGTGAGTGAATTGTTTTCTTTTCTGTCTTTGGAACATGCAAGATACTGGTTTTGTAATCAAATTGGGTTTGTCATCAAATTTCTAGGGTCAAGAACATTGATCAGGTAAATTAGAATTTTCCTGAGCCAGATTATTTTATTAAATTATTTTCTGATGTCTCTGAATTAATCATGACAATCATTAGCTTTATGAGCAAGTCAATCAAATTCTTAGATCTATAAATTATTTTTATTTGTCTTTACCATAAATAGTACAGGTAACTCAATTTTTCTGGGTTTGAGACTTTCCTTTGAGGATAAGGCAACTCTGATTTATTCAAAAAGGTACTTTCATTAGCTGTTCTCCAACAAAATAGGTAAAGAAAAGAAAAAGGAGACAAAGCCCCCAAATTGCTCTGCTTTTCTATTCACTGTGAAAAAACAAAAATGACTGAAGGGCTAGTGATTGCAAGTATTGAACAAAATGAGGTTTGGAGATTATCTGAGCATTTTAATCAGGCATTCTACCCAGAGTTCCATTATCAAAGAGATGGCATCAGAGCGGTACATTGAGAAATAAGCATTCTTTGTTGTTCTTTCCACTCTTTGTATTGTCTCTCTTATAAATGCTAAAATATTCGTCTACTATGTCTATCATAGCCTTTAGGGATCTATCAAATGCTCAAATGACATAAAAGTATTAAATGTTCTTTTTAAAAAAGGGAATTACTGAAACCGATAGAATGCCTGTGAGTAGAAGTAAAGCACAGAATAATGACAAGAGGTGGTAAATAACCTTATTAAGAATGTGGTGTAAAGAAAAGACAGTGTTTGGAGAAAAGGAATAGATATGGTTGGAAGAACATTACTTAGAAATAGTATATTTTTACAGCATCAAACTCAAACAAATCAGCTGGCAAGGTGAGAAAATACGGGATGTTTATATTCTCAGAAAAAAATCAGGCAAACAATGTCTTAGAGCCTAGGTCCTAATTGACAGCAAAATAATCATGAATACCAAGAGGAGCAATTTGGAGAAAGTTGATGGGTTCTGGAAGACATGGAACCTTCCAAGGGAGGCCCTTGCTTCAGACTGTGATTGGCTAATTTTCAGAAGTGCAACAAGAGATTAAACAGCTGCCCAAGTCTCCTTCTACCTTTATGAGAAAGAAACAAATGTGGGAACAGTTAGCTTAGAGAAGAGAATTTTTCAAGAAATCAGGTTCTAGAACCATTTTTGGAGAGACTGCCTATGTAGTCCTAAGTTGAGACACCCTCCTTTGGAGTCTGAGGATTTGGGTTTTTATTATTATTATCAACTGTTTACTTCTCTACAGTATTTGCAAGTAAAAAGGAATTGTTTTTACCAAAATTTTTAAAAAGCAATGGTGAAGATATAAATGATTTTTCTTATTTTTAAAATTTCTAACGATATAAATGTAAAAATGATCTTGGAAATACATCTGTGGTCTTTGCATATTATATTGTAGGTAGCCATAATTTTTAAGGATGTGTAAAAGATTGAATTAAGATAGAATACTGTTTTTGAGTCTTGTTTGTGCTGTTGATGTTGTCTTCCTGTTCCCTTATGACAGCGGTGCTGTGAGTAGCAGTGAACATGATGTTGCTGAGGGCTGTTCCCAGGCCCCAGATGCCTTAAAAACCTGTGAGTGCTGCAAATAAAAGCTTTTATCTTTTTGCATATCTTATTTTTATATAGAGAGCATAATATGAAATGAAATAGTCAGTAAATGCGACTGTAGACAGAACGGTAAGCCCTGGGGATTGCTAGCCACATGGGAGCCCGAGGTGTTGGTCCTCAGCCTTTTCTGCACCATGACCCTTTGGAAAACTCTGTCCACATCCTGCCTTTCACTGCTGAGTCTTAGTTTCCTCGCCTGTACAATGAATGTATTTCAATAAGGGACCTTTATGGTTCCTTTGGCTTATTCTGAACTGTTTAAACCTATTTAGGTGACAGGTCTCATCATGTTTAAAATGTTAAGCAGAAGACAGATTTACTTTGTTTTATGAAATAACTATAGATTTAGAAAATGTGGATAGAATGATGGATAGGAAAATGGATATGGGGATGTTCTGGTGATCTCTAGCTACAGAACAAACCACCTCAAATGTAGTGGTATTAAATAACAAAAATGCCTTATATTATGATCTCTCACACTTCGGGGGTGACTGGCCTCAGCTAGGTGACTCTTGCTCAGGGTCTCTCAGGCAGTTGCTGTCAGATCGAGGGTGGGGCTGTTGTCTTGGACGCTTACATGCAGCCTGTCTATGTGGCCTTGGCTTCTTCACAGGATGGCAACTTGGTTCTAAAAGCAAGTGAACCAGGAAGGAGAGATGATTAGGAAGAAGTTGAATTACATTTTCTGATCTAGTGTCAGAAGTCATACTGCTTGATTTTGCTGCATTCTAGCATACTCTCCGTTAGGATCAGGTCACTAAGACTGGCCCACCGTATCTCCACATTCAAGACAGTATTGAGGGGGCTTCCCTGGTGGCGCAGTGGTTGGGAGTCCGCCTGCCGATGCAGGGGACACGGGTTCGTGCCCCGGTCCGGGAAGAGCCCACATGCCGCGGAGCGGCTGGACCCGTGAGTCATGGCCGCTGAGCCTGTGCGTCCGGAGCCTGTGCTCCGCAACGGGGGAGAGAGACAGTATTGAGGAGTTTGTGGATATGTTTTAAAAAACAACAAAAAGATAAAACTATAAACAGTCCTTTATTTCCAGTTTAAGTTGTCTGTTACACCCTGTAATTTGAATCATTGCATAGTCCACAAAAAAGCTGAAGATTCTGGAATGATCTCTTTGCTATTTATTTTTATATGTATATCTAGGCTAATTTTAAACACTAGTGAAGTTCCTTTTGTTTTTTAAGGCATCTTTAATAGAGGGTCATAATTACACATTTTTATTATGTCAAGCTTGGGCTGGGGTCCCCCATACTTTCATTAACAAATGCATCATCTAATTTTGTGTGCTAATGCTTTGAACATTTTAAAAATTCATCCCCAAACTCTAATCACTAATTGAAACAGCTGCTTTATTTGAACAGCACTTATGAAGTGATACGTAAACAAGCCCTACTTCATGTTTTGGCAGTAATTAAGTCCAATTTCATCAAAGAGTTCTTCTGCTCTACACATACTCTTCACCTGGGAGCGAAAGAGACTTCAAGCCTGGAGGTCTTCTTTCTCCCCTTTGGCATGCACACCCGCTACTGTGTCATCATCCTCAGCGACAAAAAGGTGAGAATGGAACTGTGGTGTGTGCTTTCATCAAGGGCTGGCACTTTAATGGAATAACCAATGCAGGCAACTTGAAGGCAGCTGAAGACTATAGGAATGTAGATAACAATGTCAGCCCTCTAGTTGCTAAACAAAGATCTTATCCTCAAGAATAAGCAAAGAGTTACACTAGTTGTAAATTTTATTGGGTTGGCCAAAAAGTTCCTTCGGTTTTAAAGTAAAAATAAAAGGCACATTTTTCATTTTCACCAAGAACTTTATTGAACAACGTATTCACCGTTTTGTTCCACTACCTTCTGCCGTTTTTCAGGCAACTTCATAATTCCATCTTCCCAAAACTTTTTTTTTTTTTTTTTTTTTTTTTTTTTT